AGGGTCATGACTAGTGTTTTTATTTTTACTTGTTCGCAAAATAAAAACCTGTTGGGAGAGAATAATATTATAAGATTATGGTCTTGTATCTAACAAAACTGTCATCGTTCTCAGAGGCGGAATTAAATACCTCACACAGTGGGTGATGATTCGAAAGCAAAATCTCAACGAAACACCATAACAAATAACATTGTTCTCTTTCCTTTTTACTCGAGTCTCGAAAGTGTCCTTGGGCGGATGGTTGACGCATGTCTTCCAATTGAGAAGTTAAGAAAGACGGATTCTAGGTGAGCCTCTCGCTTTGATACAATTCAAAAGTATTTTGAACTTTCTGTTATTTAATTCAGAAGGTCGACAACATTTTCTGTGAATACTATCAACAGCCGAAAAGTTAATAGAACATAAACAATGGGTAGGCAACACACGCACACTCACACTCACACACACACACACACACACACACACACACACACACACACACACACACACTCACATATATCCGCGCTAAATACCGATCTGTGCAATCTTAAGATTTGCGCTGAGCGTTTTATCGATCGCATAATTGCGCTGCAATCTGAAGATTGCGTTAATAGTTTGTATATATTTGAAATATCTTTTTTTATTCATTTCCATCTTTATTCTTTTACTCACCTCAAGGAACATTCACATATACATGTATTTTCAAAAGTGTAAAAATATGAAGAACAAAATTAAAATTAACCTTAACACATGAAACTGAAGAGCTCACAAGAATGATACAACGCCAGGTATCAAACTCAAAATTTCACAAAAGTACATTTAGTTTATGTTATTTTTTTTATTTTTATTTTTTAATTCACTTTCATCTTTATTATTTTACTCACATCAAGGAATATTCACATCTATTTTCAAAAGTGTAAAAATATGAAAATTGAAATTTATTTAATTAGAATAAACGTATGAAACGGAAGAGCGAAGAGCCCACAAGAATATACAATTATACGATCTTTAAAACGCGCAGCACTAAAGATTGCCGCGCAATTATACGATCTTTTAAACTCGCAGCGCAATCTTAAGATTGTACCGATCGGTAATTAGCGCGGAACATATATACATGTATACATATATA